CCTTCCCCTTCCCCTTCCCTTCCCTTTCTTTCCTCCTACACCTTACTTTTCTTTTGCAGTTTGGAGAGTCACACTACAAATACAATAGGGGAAGTCACACACTAGTAAAACCTGATTTCAGAAGTGTTTGACCCCTGTCACAGAGACCTTTGTGCAGTGCTGCCAGGACCATGTGCAAATGCCCAGAAGGAGGTGTGGTCAAAACAACAGAATCCTTGTATTTTCCACTCTTGGGAGTTCAGCCTTAAAGGAGGGAAATAGATTAATTCATAGCTAAAATATTTATGTCTGGACTGGCTCCTTCCTAACGGACTCACAGAACAAATCTGGAGAGTGCAGAGTACTGCTGTGACTCAGAGTACAAACTGCAGCAATAAATTAGTTATGGGTCTACATATAATTATTAGAGGGTTTTGTGGCAAGGTACCATTAAATATTACAAAAAAAAAAATTAAAATATAGTATGCTTTAAAAACACAGTCCCTCTGTTTGCCATTAGAAGTCAGCACTTGTCTATAGTTGTAGCACATTAACATGAAAATAATTTGGTTTATCTTGTAATTTCAGGAGTTTTTGTGATAGAAGTTGCCAAATAGTCATTAAAACAGTTTTAAGAAGCAAAAGAAATAGTAAAAAAGAGAAAGCATTTGTAATATGAAGGAAAGTTGTTCCACACATATTTGTTTTCCTCCCACGCTTACAGCTAAATATTTTTTGTATTTATCTAACCAAAAGACACTCTGAGCTACTGAAAGATAGATTAATTGGTATGTATTTCTAACCTATTACTCTGAATTGTCCAAAGTTAGGTTTACCATTTTTTTCTAGTGAGTACCTGCTCCAAAAAGAAACACTGAAAACTTATTTGAAAATTAATCTCCTAAATTATTCTATTGTTTTTTGTTAAAGTGACAAGATCTCAAAGAGAGCTCAGTCATATAAGAGAGCTAGAGAAGGTAGAGCTGCTTGTGCCCTATGCTGTTTCAACACGCCCTGTGCTAGAGGTGAATACTGAAAATCTCTTTAGGATATGCAGAAAAAGTCATAAAACCAGTTGTGGCAAGGTAATGCAGACAAAGCTTTTGAGATGCATAATTATATACATCCTGCTTCTGATTTTGTTGTAAAAGGACTAAAGCCTTGAAACATTTCTGCAAGATGCACACATCTCAGTGTGCTTTCACAGATGAGGAAACTAAGGCAAAGTGAAATCTGTAAGGCTTCATCAAGGTCACAGAGCAAATAAGCACTGGAAATGGAAATTTAATCTGTAATACCATTCCTATTTTGTAGTTCAACAAGTAATGTTTGTTCCCTTTCTAATTATTTTTTGACATGCTAAAAATCCGATACCTGATGAGACAGTTTTAAAGGAGGTAATAATTACATATGCTGAAAATAAGCACATATATCAATGTTAGAACATCTATCATTTTTATGATAATTTTATCTGATTTTTCTGAATTACATCTGGTACTTACAAAACAATTTTGAAGGTTAAAGTCACAATTTTAATAATGCCTGCTCATTTCAATTTTTAGTCATTTATTCAACATTATATTACAACTTTTACTCAAAGGAGACAGTTTTGTTCATGAAATTTGGGAAACATATTGCTGTTTTATAATATGAACAGATAGTAAGCTGAGCTGATACTAAGTAAACTGTTGAGGTTTTTCTCATACCTGGAGCAAAGTGCATGTATCACGTCACAATTATCACATGGCATCGTTCTGTGGTCGTGCTTCATTTATTAAATTGCCCAGCTGTTTGATAGTTTTCTGAATAGATGAGTCATTCTTTTTTTCTTTTCAATATTAAGGGTGTTTTGAAAAGGAGAGACCAAATTCAAGGCGAGCTCGATTCCAGAGTTGATGCTTTAGCCAATAAAAGGACAGAAAAGGATCTGGTGAGTATGAAGCATAAGCTGAAATCTTGCAGGCCTTATTCTAAAGGCAAAAGGCAATCCCCTGAAGCAAGCGTGCCTTCTGGAGCCTTTGTAACTGGATGGTGTCTCTACAAGTCTCATAATTATTCTGAAAAGGTTTGGTCTTTGTAGCTATGCATGCCAGGCAAAGGCCATCATCAGAAAGATGCAGAACTTCAGTAGGCAGGCTGCTGGGGCAAAGGTCTGGGAATTGTGGGTGATCACTGTGTTTTGTCAACACAGACTGTACCACAGCTTATTTTTAGCATTTCTGTTTACTACCACACTGGGAGTTAAAAGCAAGACTTGCTGCAGTGCTCTTGTAGCTGCTGCTCCCTTGATGCAAGAGAGGGAGAGGAGGTGGTTAGAATGAGCAAAACTGTTCCTCAAACTTGCTTAAAATTAAAAGTTCTGCCTAATGTTCGTTCAGGTTTCTGTCTTACCTGGTTGGACCCAGGGATTTTTTTTTTTACTTCCAGTATGACACCTTCATTCATTCGAGTGAAGTCAGACTGTAACTGGTAGCCCATGGGGCCAGGTATCCCCAAAACCATCAGCAAGGCTCAGTGGGCCAGTTAAAAGGAACTTCTGGCATTAGCATTTTTTACATTTTTGGTTAAGTCTCCAGCCTAAATAATGTCCTTTTAGCACAGTGTTAACACAACGTGTTATACAGTATGAATAATATATTTAAATGACTAAGTAATAATAACTTTTTAGTACATCGATGGAAAGTCCTTGACATTTCAGATACCTTTTATTAGGTTTGTCTTAATTAGCTTTCATGTAAAGGTGAGCTGTTTAGATACTTTTTGGTACTTGAATTGCATATTTTTATTTGATTTCTGAGCTGAATAAATCATAATATATTACCTCTGTCTGGTATCTGCAACAATCATATCTGTATGGTATGTTTTGCAACAATTTGCCTCTGTGCACTCCGCTGGGACAGTAAGTAAATGCCTCTGGTTTTGTTTTATCCTGAAGGAAAAAATTCTGTTTACTTGTATCTTATATTGTCCTCTCATTTCACTGTCTTTGTGTTCTTTAATCTCTTTTTGAGTTCCTGCTTCCTTTGCCACCTCTCCTGTCCTTCATCCTTAGTTTACATGTGAAGTTTGAAGCTCTTATAAAATGCATGGGGGATGCAACTCCTCTGTTTCTTATTTGTTTCAAAAACTCCTGCTTCCAAGAGCCTGATTCTCCTTGCAGTCTCACGAGAGCAGTAAAACAGATGCCTGTCAGTCTAATCTGATCATAAAATCCTGTGTTTTCTAATTGAGTAGCAGCTGTATCCTGAAGACTTTTTCTTAATTAGAAGTTGAAGGCTTTTTCTATTAATGATAGTTTGGCCACAGAGAATGTTCACTGCTATTTTTAACCGTTCATGCAACTTTTAACTGTTTCCTTAATCTGTTTTTTACTATGTTTTAAGTTCTATTATCTGTTGAAATATTTTGCTGACATTTCTAACCAGACTGATTGCAGAATAAAAGGTGATTGTAACACAGGTACTGTTGCTGGAACTGGTGTCAAACACTGAGTTTGGCTGTATTTGCACATTTCTGCTCTTAAGCAGAACTCATGTAGCTTCTAATGATCTCACAGATGTCAGATTGAACTTGTCAGTGCAATCTAGCAGCCAGAAATTCTGCTGACAATGAGTGGCATGAACTCTAATCTCATTTGAAGTACATTTCCACCATAGATAAGGAATCTCAGACTGTCATTAGAGCTGATAAAAGGCTGTGGGATCTTTAGCATTGGTCACGGCAAACATTAAATGAGTTAACAAACAGGAGGTTACAGCAGGAGAATGCAAAACATCCCCAAGGTCAGTGCAGCTGAAATAGGCCGCAATTGCAAATTAAACCTTACAACATGTTGGGCTTATTGGCTGGGAATTTTTTTTTTTTTTTCATGAGCTGTGCTTCTGCCATTTAGAAAAGCTGCTTGTGGTGGTGCTAAGAAGCCAAAACTTTGTCTCCCACTAGAAAATTTAGTCCATGAAGAAGGCAGTTTTCAGGATATGGAAGATTTGAAGACTGATTTTGGATGCAGGCTCTGACAGAGATACATGGGAGCACTCTGGTGTCCTCCTGCTTATCTAGACCTTTCTTACCTCCAGAGCTCTGGCTGTAAAGATGTGGGAATCTGTGGCTGCATTGCTTCCATGCTTCATTCTGAAGGTGTACAGAGCAATGCTAGTGCATTCCTCTGTGGTTTGAGAGTTTTTAACAGTTTTTGTACTGCCACTAGTGTTGATAGTAATTTTGACAAAAGGTTGGTGTAATGTGCTCTCACAGAACCAGATAAGCATTAAATGCTAGCTTAAAGATTCTACTGTTCAGGCTTGCAACTGAATAGTAAAGAGAAACACATTCTGAATATCTGTTATGTTTTAACTCTAGGCTAAACAAGACTACTATCACCAAGCTGTAGGATTAATTCATGTAGCAGAAAGAAATCCATGCTGTTTTGCTTAGTGAGATAGTGTAAAATGCTGTGTCACTTACCAGGTAATTTGGCTATTGGGCCAAGTCTCTGGCTACAGGTTCACATCTGGCAGCACTCTGCCCGAGCAGTGTCTGGCTCCCACCTCCCTGTCCCACAGTCGGATGTCTGATTAGCACTGAACTCCCCTTCTCTGGCCATCACTGATGTGAGATTTGATTTACCACACGAGCTGCCTCAGTGAGATCAATGTAAGAAATGGATTCAGAATCATATTTAATTTTCAGGATACACTGGAACAATTTACACCTTGTAAATGAGGAACACGCTAGGTAGATGTTTTTGTTGAGACCAAGCCATTCTTGATTTCTGCTATCATGGCAGCTGAAGAGGGTGGCATTTATGTTTCTTTTCAGTTGTGAAAAAGTTGATCTTAAACCTCTCTACTTGAGAAGACTAATGAAGACTGGCACAACATTGTCTTTAGACCTTAAGTCCAACCCTCGCCTTGATACAACACACAGTTTCTTTTGGGCTTTAGAGGGTGATGTTTAATCCACATCTCCAGGCAGGCATGTAGAACAGAGTCTGCCTGTCCGCATCACATTGTGACTACACTGTGGAAGAAATTCGTAGTTCCTAGAAAAGGCAAGACAAAAAACAAACTGTAAAATGTCTTAAAGATATGAAGAACAAGATAAGGGTAAGCTGCTGCAGCCAGGACTTCTAAGCCAGAAAAGTTCTTTATGTGTGTAGCCTAGCTCATTCCTATAGAGGGACTTTTTTCTTGCAAAACCAGAAAATGGATTCAACTGCCTTTCCTATTCTAAATCACCTAAAAATATTCACTGTTTTCAGTATTCCATCTGCATTCATTTTTGGTATTTGAAGGAAAGGCAATTAACTTGGAACATGCCCAAGACAGCAAACTCAGCTACCTGTAACTCCTTTAAAGGGAATTTCCCCACATTTAATCTTTGGATTAACCTTTTCATATTGAATACATTGTTGGTGGTTGAAATTACCCTTGTCCATAGTTCGATTACTGGTCTGACTAGATAATTGAACTTGGGCTTTTCAGTAAAGTAGAAATAATATATTGCATATTGTTCTTAATTAATAGCCAGTATTTCATTAATCTAGAAGTGTGGCAAGGAAAATCAAGAAATCTAGTCTAACTAAAAATGTTTATTCCTTTGTGTATGGCAGAATGTGGAGAAAATCAATTCAGATTAAAGTTTCAGTTTTACTAGCTATGGAGTTTTTGGCTACCTTAAGAGCTGAAGGATGTATATGAAATTGAGCTGGGACCTGTGGTTTGTGATTTAAGCACTGGACTTGGGTTCTGTGACCATTTCAGGCAGTGCTGCTTAGTTTGTGTCTGATGGCAGCAGGACTGGCAGCTGGTGCACTTGTACCCTCTCCTCCCTGCCTGGTTCAAGCTGGAGTCTGTGCACCAACGCTTCCCTCATCCTGCTCTGAATTTCAACGTGCCTGCATTCTGCCAATAGCATAAGAATTCTCTGAAAATCCTGGAAGTTAATCCTGGAATCCTGAAGTTCCTATCAATGAAAGGACCAGCTCTGCAGAGAGCAAGAGGAGCTATGCAATTTTACAGGGGTGTTGTATGAGGAAAACCCAGTCTGCGTGACAGCAGAATACAAGGAAGAAGACAAAGCTCTACAGGATTGCAATGGGAGCAATACAGGGAGATCAGCTTTTCCTGCTTGATGTTCCTTCTTGGCAGTGTTTCTACCTGACCCCCCTCCTGCTCACAGTCGCTGTGCAGTCCCAGCACAGTCCCAGCACATGAGTTTGCACTGGAGCTGCAGATGTACCTCGTTCTGCGACCAGGTGCCAGCCAGAACTGACACAGCTGATTAATAAATGACAATAGGTAAAAAAAAGTATTAAGAGGACTAGAAGACTCATTAATGAGAGGCCCTCTGTCTGCTTATTCATTCCTATTAGTTGAAAAGTCAATTTGTTCATCTACAAAAATTAGAAACAAGTAGTGTCTGTAGAGTAGTCCTCAAGGTTTTTGATCTGGATTGCTGTGAAAGAGTTTCTTCTCTGCAGAAGTCCTCTAGTTTAACTTCTTTCTCTACTGCTGCACTTCTCTCTCCCTTATACAGTCACAGAGATGAGTGCCAGAAGAAAAGATGGCAAGATGACAAGCAAGAAATCAGAAAGTTTGTGCTTTTGATTTCTGCTTTCTTCTCCCCATTCTGGTTTCTCCTGAGGTTATCAAAGGTTCTGTCAGGGTTTTCTCAGTTCTTCTGGCCAAATCTAATTTGTATAGTTGATTCTGCTTCAGTAAAGACCTCTGTATTTTCTTTTTAAATGCATTACTGTCAAGTGCTAATGGAAAGGTGCCAAAGTCTGTAATTTTTCAGTCAATAAAAATATCTTCAACAATACTTTTATTCTGGTCTAGAACTTCTGTTATTCATGTTTCAGAAATTGTACCGAGTTATTAATTAAGAATAAAATTTAAATTCATCCCTGGGAATGATGTTCTGTGCTAAGTTAAATACCAACCTAAGTTCTGCTGTGTACTTCTCTGCAGTACAATCACTTGATTTCAATCACTTTTGAAATGGTGACTTTACTAATATTTTTTAATGTTTACTCTTCATATTTAGTTCTCAGAAGAGATTGGGAAACTTGAAGACAAAGTCGAATGTGCCAATAATGCTCTGAAAGCAGACTGGGACAGGTGGAAACAAAACATGCAGTGTGATATGAGATCAACGTTCACTAATGTGGCTGAGAATAATCTCCGGTATTATGAAGAGGTAAAACATTTTCTCATAGTAATGTTATTTTTTCATTTGTTATTTCAGTGAAGAAGTCCACGGGGTGTCTGTAAAGAGAAATTTTTGCATTTGAGATCAAACCTGTATTAGCCTCAGATTCAATTTTTGTGGATAGAGGGACAGAGGGAGGCAGTTATCCTGAATTTGACATGTTTCAACCAAAACGTATTTTCTTTATGCCCAAGTGGTTGATCCTGAGTTCATCATCAACAGAGGGCACTCTTGTTTTACTAACCACAAAAATTTGGAACATACTTTTCCATTCAACGTCAGCTGCTGTATTTCAGTTTAGAAAGCTTTTGCTGTTACTGCATGAAGAAGCCCTTTGGAAAGCTCAAAACTTGTGTAAATGGTCTCATATGAGGAAAACGTTTAAATGTGATTCCATTTCAGACAGCACATTCAGGAATTCCTTGTTGTTATTTCTCTAAGGAATTGTCTTTCATTAAATAATCAAACTTTACAAGGATAAAGAACAGTAAAACTTTGAGAATTTCAATAGGAAAAGCTTATTGCACTTCCTAAAAAATACAAATGCTGCATGTGTATACAGTTAATAAATTTAATCTCTTTTAATTGAAACAACTTCAGAAAGAATGAAAAGATATTGAAATTAAATTTTTATTTTCAACTCAAATGCCACAGCTAATATCCTTGGTAAGAATTCCCCTTTACAAGAATATATACTAGGAAAGAGAACCTGAAAACATAAACCAAAATATTTAAGGATTTTGTGAAGTTTCTTCATATTGATTGAAGTGTGCATTTCGAAAATATCCCAGATGTCTTGTTTGGTTTGATGTTTTTGGTTTTTTTTTTAAGAATTTCTCCTTATTCTGGGATAAAAAATGGAATAAACTAAGCCATCTATTAATCGTAAGTTAGTAATTTCACAGATATGTTGCTATCTGTAACTTTCAATCCTGCATTCTGAACTTTTTATGGGTTGCCCGTTAGCCAATGACTGTCCTGATTTTACAAATCATTTTGTTAAAACATAATTGAAAAGACAGAGCTCTTGATCATCAAGTCTAATTAATTAACATACAGTCTGTGAGATGCGTGGACATTGACAATCTGTTGTTGCATATTAAGATCAAAATATTTTCTGCAATCAGGCAGCAAGCTTTTGGCATCATCTCACATCTTCCTCAGTTACTGATGATCTCTGACTTGTGTATCAGCAATACGTATGTTAAAATGATGCTAAATATATTGGAATATTTTGTTAATGAATGATTAGCTAAATTAAAAGACAAAAATAATTCTTTGGTTCTCTTTCCTGTCTAGAAATCAGGGAGGGAACTACTAGAGAGAGTACAGTGGAGGGCTACAAAGATGCTGAGGGGACTGGAACATGTCTCTTAGGAGGAAAGGCTGAGAGACCTGGGTCTGCTTAGCCTGGAGAAGAGAAAACAGAGGGGATCTCATCAGTGCTTATAAATATCTAAAGAGTGGGTGTCAAGAGGATGGGGTCAGTCTCTTTTCAGTATTGGCCAGTGATAGGACGAGAGGCAATGAGCACAAGCTAGAACCCAGGAAGTTTGACCTGAACATAATGAAAAAGGAAAATCTTCTTTATTGTGAGGGTGACAGAGCCCTGGAGCAGGCTGCCCAGAGGGGCTGTGAAGTCTCCTTCTCTGGAGACTTTCAAAACCCACCTGGACGTGTTCCTGTACAAGCTGCTCTAGGTGACCCTGCTTTAGCTCCAGAGCTCCGTTCCAACTCCAACCATTCTGTGCTTCTGTGATTTGCTGAGTTAGAATTTTAATCCAGAACACCAAAGCTTATACTGTACATGAAACTACTGTCATTAAATCACAAACTGCAGGAAATGGCTCAGATCTCTGTAACTGACAGTGTTTTTTCTTGAATAGCCTTTGAAATACAGGACAAATTAGTTTATACCGAGACATTATTCTTCGTTGGTGCTTTTCTTGAATACTGAAATCTGCATAAAATATTTTTGCTGTTATATCTCAGTAGATCCAGATTTTAGACAAAAACACCTTATCTTACCGTAGCAGTAGAAAACATTGTGCTAAAAGTATCACTCCTTGTTTGCACAGTGAGAGCTTACCATTTTTTTCCTGTTTTATCAGAAAATCATTACCTTAATCCTGACATTCAAGAGAACTTGATAATATTTAGATGGGTAGTTTTGATATAAAATATGCATGTTTATCTGAGACCTGTGGTTAATGCTGACAGTTAATTATTGGAGAAGTGACTACTGTCAGAGGCCTTTATATTACAAACTACAGGTATGTAATGCACTCCTGGAAACAGCAGAAAAAGAAGCCCTGGCATCTTGTTTCGCTGTTTGGAAGTGAAACTTCAGGAAGGAAGCTAGAAGCCCGAAAATCAGAATATGATTTTCATGCTTTCAGTAGAAAACAAAATCCTATGTTAAAGATAATAGTTTGAGTCTCACTCATTAAACTCATGTGTAAACACAGTGCCTGTTACATTCTTTCTCCCTTGTTCAGTCTTTGCTTGCATCATCAACGTTCTCCCACATGTCCAAAGTCAAATAACTCGTCCATGCTTTTGATGAACTATTTGATGCTTTCTAAGCCCTTCTTTGTACCTTCCCTCATCTTATTTCTTGCTCTTTTTGTTTTTTTCCCAAAGCATGTTCTGTGCATGCTCCCAGACACCATGAACATGATTCAGTTGCCCAGCTCTTCTGTCCACCTCCTGCAAGGAATCATCTCCTGCTTTCTAACTTAGTCACTACCTGCTTCTCCTCCTTTACACAGCCTTCTGCACTTCTCCCCTGCCAGTTAACCACCTAGTCTTGCCTCTCCACAAGCCATGCCCCATTCCCTTTTCTATGGCAGCATTTCACTGTGCTCCTCATTATTCCCCAGTTTTGATGACTTTATTTCCCAGGTGTGCAACCTAACCAGCAGTGTTTCCTGTTAGTGGCCATTCTCTGCACCCCTTAAATTTCTGAGAACAACAGAGTAATGAGAGACAGAAATCTCATGTTTTCTGTTGGCTTTTGCTGTAGGGGATCCAGTCCTTCAAGACTGTATAAAAATAAAGCCAGTGTGATCGAATACAACATAGCAATGTGTCAAAGTACACTAAAATTTCCCAAGTGTTACTTTGTCACAATATGGAGAAAGAGTATGAACATAGATTTGTTTGCATTTTTTCTTAACTGTAGTTGCCTAAGGATTCTGCTGTCAACTTGTCAAGCATTGCTTAGCTAGCATTAAAGAGTATCACTCCCTTAGCTGAATTAATGTTCACATTACATGAACTGCTACTTTAAGGTGTTACCTGTAGTTATATTGCTTCAGATTTACTTATTCAGAACAAGTAGAGGTATTTCTGTAGCCTTCCAGTTCATTGACTATCTGCACTTAATATACTTCACCAAGAACTGTTCCTTTGTTTCTCCAGCTATGGAATCACCAACCTCTCTGTTTCTCTCAATGCTATGGTAACAAAGATGCTAATTAAAGCCCAGTGTTGCAAATTTTTAGGGTGCTTCTACACAGACCTATTAAAATGAAGGGCTTCCTGTGATAGTGTACAAGCTACGTTATAATACATTTAAATATAATGCCATTTAGTAGCCAAGAATTACCACTACCATTTTGTAGTCATGTAGCTGGTCTCAAGAGTTTATTAAAGTTCTCTACTTCTTTTCTTTGCTTCTGGAAGAGTTGCATACATGCTTAACTCTCTCTGTATTCCACGAAGGCTTAAAGCCAGTAACATACTGTATTAATAATGAATGTAAGTGCATTGCTAAAATATGGAGGATTTTCTGAAAGAGTATGATACGGTTTTAAATTTTTTAAAATTCAGAACTTTACTCCTTTTTCTGAACAGCATCGATTTCTTTGCCTTACAGAGAGGAGTGCTTGAATGAAGTATGTATTAACAGCATACCATTCATTTTATTCCTTTTCCCCATGCCTTAGGTGTGACACTATTATCTGAGCTCAGACACCTTAGACCAGAACAGCTATCTCCCAAACAGCTGAGATCACAAACTGTCCACAGGGTGGAGCTTACAGCTGAGAAAGGTGGTTGTCAACAGGACTATTTTCATTCAGTTAGGTACAGATATTCTGCAGAGCCCTAAAGATGCAGCATGACTAAAACCAAACGAGATACTAATTATTTGTGGTGCTATCATTATTTAGCTAGCATGTCTTAAGTGTTCCTGGTACAAATTAGCAAAATGAAATCCAGCAATGTTGAACTCTGGCTTCAAAAAGCAACAGCAACTAAACATTTTTTTTTTCTTATGTGTTTACAGGATATTTACAGCATCAAAGAAACACTCTAATTTTTCTCAGCAAATAATTTTGTTAACCTACTAAAAAAAAACCACCAGAATAAGTGGCTAGAATTTGCAGCCCAATCCAAAGACTAGTTAGACATTATAAATCCAGCAACTATACCAGAGTTTGGTTTTCCATGGCTCATGAGGCATTCACAGGAAGACTGGGGTTTATTCATAATGTCAGATGATTCTTAATTAATTTTGGCGCTGAAAGAATATACTTTTTCTTGTGCATGGATGAGCCTTTGTGTTGAAGTGTAGCTTCTAATTTTTTCTCTTGTCAAACTAATCCCATTAAAACTTTGCAGCTTAATCAGAAGAAGAAGATAAAGTTATCTTTGATATAGTGAGATTTTTGTTGGTATTGACACAAGTTACCCTTTTTCAAAAATGTAAATAATTTTCTGATTTTCTTAACTATTTCAAGTATAATTTAGTTTATTTCTGTGACTTACACTGTTATAAAGGCATAAGCTGATCCAAAAGATTCCTTAGGACAAAACAATACTCCTTC